GTCTGAAGAAAGACCGCTCAAATGTGGGGAGGGGCTTTGACGTCATGCTCCGAATGCAGAGAAGGTGGCCGTATTCACTGATGTCACTCCATTACATTTTACTTGGAAATATCAACTAATTAAGCCAATGAATTGGTTTAGTGAATATTACTTGGATCGAATGATTCAATTTACACACAAAACTGAGGACACATAATTACAAACAATCCTCAAGTAATGCACTACAAGAAAAACTGCTATTTTAAAGTAATAGCACTGAATTTGTATTTTTTTGTAAAATTTATATAGCTAATTGAAATAATAATTACAGGGCCAAAAAAACATTTTTTTCAGTGTAAAAACAAAAAAACGAGCAAGTAATGAAAAACAAACAAATCTTAAATATCTTTAAACGGGGTTTATGAGAAGCATTTTACTATTGTCTACATTATAGCGCTTGTACAGCATACAGCATTTACACACTACATTGACCTGTGTGTAAATAGATTTCCTTATTGGACGTCACACTCTATGATAGCTGGAAATCACCTGATATCCCAGTTTATGAGTGGGCGTGTTTGTTTACCAGCTTTTCGGCTTTCGTACTCATTTCATTAAAAGTCAGTGTTGCAAAAACACTCCATAAATGCTACTGTAAAACACCGTATTCATTTTTTTAAAATATTTATTTATTATTAAATAATGTTTTAAAACATTAAAAAAATCCTTCAAGTTAAAACAATTCAATAACAAAAAAGGAGTACATAAAAAAGCTTTAAATAACTGCTGCCCTCATCATCAGTGCTAAAGAGTAAATAAAAAGAAGTACAGATACAAGAAGACAGACCTGCTACACAGCGCTGTTTCACGTGACTTCTGGTAACTGCTGGGGGAAAGTGAAAGTTAAAAACAAATCTTGGTGCTGTCAGTGGTGATAACACGGTAGCCTCGGTGTTCAGTTCACTTGACTGCAGACACGGAGCTTGTTCATCAACGGAGAGCTTCTGAGCTAAAATGACCGAAGAGAAAAGATACGACCCCAATGACACGACGCTGAAATTCGTCAACAGGCCCGATGATCTGGATCCTCTACGTAAGAAATACAACTGTTTAGTTATCGTCACTGAAGCCCCTTAATTCATGTCTATTATTTTTAATAACTGTGCATGATTTGATTTGGAAATGTTATAATAAATCCACTGGTTTAATACCGGGGAGGCTGTTGCCTATTGCACACTGTTGAGTTTACTGTTCGCTGCGCTTATTGTTGTTCCTCTCAGCTCCACTGGAAGGTGACCAGGGTCTCAGAGCACAGATGTCCTGCGGCCATGCAGTCACCCCGGAGTCGCTCACTGGGTGGTGTCGCAGCCTGTTGGATCAGGTACTTTCCAGGTTCTGAAGAATGTCATTGTTCTCATGCAGTTTTACTTTTGGTTTTCTTGTCTAAGCTTGAGCAAGAAAATAAATGTCTACATTTCTGCAAGGTTTTGGTTTCGGTCTGTATTCAAGTTTCATATTTTACATTTTTGCTTTTGGATTTATAATATTAAACAGCCAAATAAAACCACAATATGATAGGGGTGTTTAAAAAAGTTGTCACTCAAATTTACAGACACTACACTACAGATACAGGCCTCGGTTAAAGGATTTTTCACTGACCTGCTGGCTTGTAGTATAGTATGTGTGTGTGTGTGTGTGTGTGTATAT